ACTCCCTCATCCTTGGTAGAGGGTGGGGGAAGAGCAGGGTGTGGCTGGGAATTTCACTTTCCAGGAACAGGACCATTAGGTGAAGCTAACCCTGTTAGCCACTATGTGGCACCATTTATCTACTTTTCTTCACCCAGCTAATGGGAGGTGGCTATGCACAAGTGTAAGAAATTTTAAAACCTGAAAACTTTTCAGGGATCTGGTTCTGACTAGGTTACCGACATGATGAAGGTGCTTACCCTCTATGAGCCTTAAGTTCTCATTTTGTGAAATAGGCAGATGAGGATCACTGAAGTGTCTTCCAGCTTCATAATCCTATAAGTATGTGAGTATACTCCAGAAAGTCATTCATATGATAGTTTGTGCCTGTGGGATACACAGAGGGTGAGTATAGAAAAAAAGCACAAGGGCCAGGGCATATGTGTGTGAGGCTGAGGATGAGGAGGGGAGGGTCAGGGAAGCAGGAGGATTTTGAACCAGGATTTCTCCTGCGTCTTCCAGTGGTGCCAAGGAAAAGATGAGGGAGCCATTCATTCACTGAATAAACACTGACTGACCATGCCAAGCGCAGTATGATGGAGGCAAGGATATGGTGGCAGGTGGGCAACCAAGGTGAATAAAACCCAGAAGTATTTACCATTCAGTGAGGAAGTAGATGAGTAAACAAATAACCAGTGGGCAGGGGAGAATAGAGTCTGTGCTAAACAGAAATCCAAACTGCTGGTGGAGGGGGTAGACTGACTTAAGCACAATATATTTGCAGCTAAAATAGCAAGGCAAAATCCCCACTGAAAAATGGACACCTAAACAATGAAGGACAGGAATGTAAAACAGCTCATGTTAGGGGGAAGGCACTAGTGGAATGGGAAGAGTAAATGAAGAGAGTAAAGGAGGATGAATATGGTTGATGTACTTTCTATACATGTATGAACATGTAACATTGAAAACTGTTGAAGTCACCTTAAGAAGGGGACTGGGGTAGCAGCAGGGAGAATAATGGAGGGGATGAACCAATTTGGGGTGTAATATATGTATATATGGAAATGTCACAATGAAACCCCCTGTATAGCTATCATATGCTAACAAAGATGTTACTTTTTTAAATGGAAGGACAGGAAGGTAAAACAGATGCTGCCTGGCGGTAGAGGGAGGGGAGAGGACATAAGGAAAGGGTGAAGGAGGGCTAATACGGTGGATGCATTTTGTATTCATGTATGAAAATGGAACAATGAAACCTGCTGAAATTGTTCTAAGAAGGGGAGTATGAAGGAGAAAGATGGAGGGGATGAATTTAATTAAGATGTATTTTAAGCACATATGTAAATATCACAGTGTATCCCTCTGTGCAACTATAATATGCTAACAAAATAAGTAAATTTAAAAAAAGAAATATAAACTGCTGGAAGCAGGGAGGAAGCAGGGATAAATTCTGACCAGATGATAAGGAAGGTTTCACAGAGGAGGAATCATTTTAGCTGGGCTTTGAAAAATGAAAAGATGTTTATGGGGGAGGGGATGGAGAAAGGAGGCAAAGGCAGGCATTTTGGGAAGAAGGAATAGCTTAAGGAAAAATCTGGGATGGGTGCAATTAAGCTGTTTTGGGCAAACAGAGAGTACTCTGAAGTGGCAGGAGGAATGGAGTGGGAGAAGAATTTGCCACAATGGTTTGGGATATAGATTCTGGGCTTATGGAGCCCATTTTACATGGCTAGCTCTGTACACAGTGTAAAAAACAGACTCTCAAAATGTCCGGTCCTTCAGTTTGGAGAAAGCAAGATCCACTCCCTCCCACATATACAAGGTTACCAAAAAAACAGTTAAAGTGAATGGAACCAAGCAAGCCTGAGTGGAAGCATGGTAGATCAAAAGAAGAGGAAGCCTGAAAGTATACCCAGAGAAAGAATGTATTCCACTCCCCTAATCTCTCCTGAAACTAAGATGATAAAAATTTAAAAGATCTGACTTCTGAGGAATAGGAAGAGGCCCTGCTCCAAGGATGAGAGAGCCATCCTAGGAGATGTGCAAACTGTTCCATCTCTAGTTTGCTTTAGGTTATACCCAGCTCCAGGCACATAGCAACAGGGCTGAGGTATCACGGGAGCTGGCCTCAGTCCAATTAGGATAATAAACCAAGTGAAATCTAAGATAGACTTAAAGAAGGAAGAAGTATGTGGTCTGAAAAGTGAGAGATTTGCTAACCATGACAGCTTAGAGCCACTGAGTGCCACTCAATGCCAGGCACAGGCTGGAGGGAAGAGTGCAGGGTGAGAGGTTGCAAAGATAAATCAGACATAGCTCAGCCCTTTGGGAGCTCAGAGTGAAGATGGGTGTGGAAAGCAAAATAATGGGTCCCCAAAGATATCCACATTCTGATTCCTAGAATTATGAATATATTATCTTACATGGCAAAGGGAAACAAAAGTTCAGATAGAATTAAAGTTGCTAATTAGATGATCCTAAGTAGGAAGATTATGCTGAATTATCTAGATGGCCCCAATATCAATATAGGAATCCTTATAAGTGGAAGAAGTTTGCAGGAGCTTTGCGCTGGTAGCTCACACTTATAATACTAGCTACTCAGGAGGCAGGGACCAGGAGAATCATGGTTCAAAGCCAGCCCAGGCAAATACTTCAAGAGACCCTATCCTGAAAAAAAAATCACAAAAAAGGGATGGGGGATTGGCTCATTGTTTAGGCCCTGAGTTCAAGCCCCAGTACTGCAAAAAGAAAAGAAAGAAAGAAAAGCCAAATAATGTAGAGGGCATCTAGGAACTGTAAAAGGCAAAGAAACAGAATTTCCCCTAGAACCTCCAGAAATGAACAAAACCCTGCTAACACCTTGATTTTATCCTACTGATAAGTGTGGCAACTGAAAAAAATAAATTTATGTTGTGTGTGGCAATTTGTAATAACAGCAGTTAACAAACTAATATAATGGGGTAATGGACACATACATCATAATGTTCTAGTATGAAAACTGCTCTAGGAAAAATAATTCCACAACATGTGGTGAAAATCAGAGCACAGGATCTTGTCTTGGGGGGCATAAGTAAAGGAAAGCTCCCTCAAGAGTTTCCAGTGGAGATAGATATGAAAGAAAAAGTAGTTGATAGACATCCAGAGGAGATTGAGACAAGTGTCTCAACAGAGGAATGCTGTGTATTAAAAATTTGGAAGAAAGAAACAGACTGGAAGTTTCAAGGAATCAGGAAATAAAAAGGCAGGAGTACATGAAGGGTAGGATGTGCAGGAAGAGAAGGGTGCTCTGCAGGGTTGAGAGAGGAAAGGGCTGCCTCTACCCTCTTAGTTGGCCCTGGATTCAAACGCTCACTCTCATTTATTTACAGTTTTGGCCCAAACTAACTACGGGAGAGACAAATTCTCAGTCTTTCTCCACCTTGCCCATGGCAGTGTTACAATTTATAGAAAAGATGAAACACAAACTGAGTGTAGTGGTACACACCTATAATCCCAGCACTCAGAAGACTGAGGCAGGAAGATTGTGAATTCAAGGCGAACCTGGGCTACAAGGCCAGACCCTATCTAAAAAAGAAAGAAAGAGGGAGAAAGGGAGGGAGGGAAGGAAGAAGGGAAGGAGGGAAGAAGAAAAGATTGGGCAAAAGCCAGGTAATATGCACATATAGATTTAGTTGTGGGCCAAAGGAATTGGGTGGGCCATTTTCATTCCCAACATGGTATTTCCTGTAGGGATCCTAATTCCTAGGGCCCTCTCACACTTCTTTGCTTATTTAAGAACCCAACTCTAAGCTCTTCTCTGGGGAAGCTGAGGCAGGAGAATCTCAGTTCAAGGCCAGCATGGGCTGCATAGCAAAACCCTGTCTTGTTTTTCTTTTCTGTTTCTGGGGTTTGAACTCAGGACTTCATGCTTGCTAGACAGGCGCTGTACCCCTTGAGCCACTCCACTGTTTTAAAACAAAGTACTCTGTAGAGTTGACTCTTGCTATAGCTGAATTTAGAGTTCCCTGGTAATCTTTTGTTTGTCACCACTCCCCTCCTTCCTCACTCTACCCAAAAGTCCACTGGGGAGACTACCTTCCTCCACCAGCTCCATAGCAAGCCATGACCAAAAGGGAAGAGAAACCAGGATGCTGCTTGCATGTCTTGAAATTCTCAGTCCTGCTATGCTCTGGCTCTGAAGGATGGGCCAAAAAAGAAAGAGTTGGGGAGGGTGCTGGAGTATAGTAGGAATCTTCATTCCTCATAGAAATTTCTGGAAAGGCACAAGGGCTGGGCCAAGGGGTGGAAGTATGGGATATCTTGGAATTTAGAATCATCTAGTGTTTCTTTCTCATCTGTAGCAAAATATGACAGGAGCCAGGAGTGAGGCAGGATGGCTAGAAGAAGGGATGCAGCTTATCTCACAGGACCTGGAATTTCTGTCAGTCTTGGCACAGATCACAAGCAAGCAGGCACTCACTTGTTCCCCTTCCCCTTCCCTTGTCCCATCAGTACCCCCATCCTTAGCACCAAGGCCTCTGGAGAAGGGGAAAAAAAACGAACAGGCAGAAACTGCTAGACATAGCCAGGAGCACATCTGGCCTCCCAGGCTGTCTCCTGGTACTTGCTTCTCCCTCCCCCAACACTCCTTCCTCCTTTGCTGGCTTCTGCTAGGACTGTAGTGGAGCTGGGGGGAGGGTGGGGAATTAGAGTGGGACTGGATGGGGGTGGGGTGAGGGTAGAAAGTTGTTCTAAATATTAGCTGGTCTTGTGAGGTGGCCTTTTGGCTGGAGTCGGACCACCTAACTTCCTGTTTTTCCTCCAGCTGCGTCCCTCCCCTCCCTCTACTCTGGGCTGGAACTGAGCCTGGGGAGGAAGGAGGAGCAGCAAAGTTGGCCAGGGAGGTGGCTGGTCTGATTCCCTGTAGGCTGGGGGCCAGGATTGCCTCCCTAAACAAGCAGGCGGGGGTGAGGGGGTTACATATAGCCCTGGGTCCAGTTGTTGCCTCTCAGCACTTGTTCCTCTGACCACAGCAGGAACACGAGGCTCTTGGAAAACTCCAGCTCCTAGTCAGCTCTTCCATGAGTACACCCTGGCCCTGGGGCCTGAGATCTCTCCATGCAGGAGCAGCCACAAACTCCGGAGGTGGCGGCATCGCCGGCCACACCACCCACCCCACCGCCTCCTGCCCCGCCGCCCAGCCAGCCACTGGTCCCTTCACTGCCAGTGTTTGTGGACCATGCAAAACAACCAAGTGAGTGAGCAGGGGTTGCCTGGGTGTGTGGTGGGGTTCCTGAGCTGGGAGTGTTTGCTTTTGCCTTCTTTTTTGCCCTTAGGGACAATACGAGAAGCTGCCTGGGGAGGGGGGCATGGAAATGTTGATCTGTGTGTTTTGACTCCCCCTGGTTTGCCTTTCTGTGCTTCTCTCTCTCTCTCTCTCTCTCTCTCTCTCTTCCCCCTACCCCTCTACTGTTCTTACCCTCTGTTCTAGGCAAGGAACTCATTAAGCCCAAAGCGATTTTAGGGCGTCCAGTAGCAAGACCTACAGAGGCTCCTGCCGCTGATGCTGCTGGTACTGCTGCTGCAGAGTGCCCGGGATCGGGTGCCAGGGAAGTCGGAGTCAAAAATCACCGCTGTCAGGTCTGCCGCCCCCCCAGCCAGTTTCTCAAGTCAGGCACCTCCTACTCCTTTTGGAGGCCTAGGGATCTCTAAGGCCCATCTAGCTTCCTCTGCCACCTCCATTTTCATTCCCATCCCTTGTACTCAGCCTCTTTTGATAGCTCCTCTTTTTATTCCCTGTGCCACCCACCCCATCTCAAATTTTCAAAGTGATGCCAGAGAATTAAGAGATGTCCCTGTACCCATCTTGATCATTTAGTCTGCGGTTGCCTGTCTGTGACTTCCCCTGCTGTATACTGTGGCATAATTGTTCTCTCAGAGCCACCAGGCATCTCCCAAGACTCCCCCGAAAGACATCTGTTTACAGGCTAGGCTGGTTTTTCTCCTGGAACTGCTGGGCCTAGGAGACATTCTGGTCAGCCATTGTGACCACACCTGAGAAACAGAGAGCTGTCTTCCTGTTTCCTGAAGACCCAGGAGGAAGAGACACCACCAACAACTACCCCTACCCCAACTCCCTGCCTGGAGTAGCCTCCCCTGGGTGCCTGGGCTGCCACATCACTTCTGTGGTCCTCAGCCCCCTCCCTGCCCTGGCCAAGCCTGGGAAGAGAGAGGAAGACAAGAGGACCCCATCCTAACTCCTGTCATCCCTCCTCTTGCCAGCGGATCCGAGCCAGTCGAGAAGCGGGCTCACAGTTTGCCATGGAGGGCTTGGATGATAAACTGATCCTGAACGTGGGGGGCATGCGCCACGAGACCTACATCAGCACTCTGCGGGCCTTTCCAGGTACCCGCCTCTACAAGCTGACCGAACCACCCCCGCCTGGCACCACAGCTGCTCAGGGTCCACCAGTCCGAGAGTTTTTCTTTGACCGCAATCCTGAGCTCTTTAGCTATGTCCTGGGCTACTACCGTACTCGGCAACTGCACTGCCCTGCTGATGTTTGTCGGGAGGTCCTAGAGGAGGAGTTGGCTTATTGGGGCCTGGCTGAAGCACCGTTGGCACCTTGCTGCTGGCTCAAGCTAAGTGGCAGAGAGACCCGTACCCAGGATTTCCTGTCCTGGGAGGCCTGTGAAAACGCCTACATGGATGAACGCCATCTTCTGAACCCTATCGAAGGCCAGGGATTGCAGAATGCTTGGAAGCCATGGCTCTGGGTGCTTCTTGATCAACCCCGGTCTTCCCTAGGGGCCAAGGTAACTCATTCACAATGTATGGCACTATGCTAGACATTCTAACCCCCAAAGGGCCCAGCCAAGTTGCCACAATAAATATACAGTTGGCATGGTCCTTGGGGCCTGAATCTATAGACTTCTGCAGGACAATTAGAGGGGATCACCTAAAAAGGGAGACAAAGAAGGGTAGAAATGTAGAGAGGTGGGGGATGGCTGGTAAATGAGATTTGATATGTTTCTTTTCTCCCAGTGCCTTTCCCTGATCTCCACAATCTTTGCTGTGTGTGCATTGGTCATCTTCTTCCAGGAGACGGAGGTCCAGCTGGATTACTTCACTGCCAACTTCACTCCTATGGGACATGGGGTGGGGGTAGGAGGAAAATACCAGCAGCAGCAGAACAACGGTCTTGTTTACCGCCGTGCCCCTCACCTGCTCTACCTGGAACTGCTCTGTGCCCTTTGGTTTGGAACTGAGCTCTTTGCCCGGGCCATTTCCTGCCCTGATAAAGTGCGCTTCCTGTGCAGCCCTCTCAACCTGGCTGACATTTTCTGTTTGTTCCCTGTGCTGGTGGAATTGGTGGTGGGTGATAAGGCTGAAAGGCAACCCAGTCTTAGCCTCACCCTTGGGGCCATTCGTTCTCTCTATGTCCTCAAATTGGTTCGTCTCTTGGGCTTTCTTGAAAAGTCCCTGGCCTTAAGAGTGCTGGTTCATACCCTCCATTCGTCCTGGAAAGAAGTGTGTGCCTTTATCCTGATTTGGGTGGCTGAAATCTTATTCTTTGGCTCCCTCTTCCTCTATGGAGAGCTCTTGGGCATGTCCACTCCAAGTCAGGGTGAGCTCCACTTTGGAGACATCTTTACATGTCTCTGGTGGACTGTTATAACTCTCACCACTGTTGGCTATGGAGATGTCTACCCTCTCTCTGCTCTGGGTCAGCTTACTGCTGCTGTCACAGCCACAGTGGGCATGTGCACTGGTGTCTTGTTGGTGCCCGTGCTCTTGGTCCGCTTCCAGCGCTATTATGCTGTAGCCCTGGCTCGCCAGAAACTAGGGCCCAGTGGGATCGTATAATGGGCCATTGGTCAAAGGGGATGGGCCCTACCTTCCCTTCCTTCTTCTTGCCAGTTTCTAATTATAGATATGGATTTCTGGCTTTGGATTTGGCAAAGAATCCTTCAAGAGTAGCCCCAGATCATGGTAATTCCCACCAATCAGGATCAGCTAACCATGGCTTGTAGGTAAGACTCTTCTTCCTTATCAAGGCAGCACCCTGGAGGAAGGGCCGCAGTGTCCCCCTGCCCCACCTTGGGCCCTTCTCTTAATCCCAGAATGACCAGGAAGGATAGAAGTTAGTTCATCCTAGATTGGTGCTATATCCTGTTCAACCAGCTGTCTCTTCTCAGTCTTTCATCCTGGCCCCCCAAGTGGACCCTAGTCCAGACAGGGAACTTCTGGGTGATGGTAGCCATAGAGTATCAGCATTGGTTGCTTATGAGTATCAATGATAATTGACAATCAATGATGATTGCCTGTGAATATCTGACAGCACCTGCTTGTAGGTATTGATGACAATTGGTACCTTCAGTGCCCAGGTATAGCCTAATTGTAGCATTGTTCTCCTACTGCTCCTGGGACAAAAGCTCCTTATAGGTATAAGGAGGCCTTTGAATGTTCTCGGAGACTCCAAGCAAATTTGGGTCATCCATGTCTAAACCTGAATCACTCTAACTCCATGACTTCTTCATCCCATTATATCCTCACCCAATCCTCCCTCCTCCTCCCCATCTGTGTGATTTTTTTCATATCATCTTAGGCATAGTATTAACCATTAGTAATCACAATATATTAGTCAATTTTAGCCACAATATCTCGGCCATGATAACAGTATATAGTCACTAATAGACATGAAGTGTTATCTTTGCACGTTGCATGGACAGGAACGAGGAAACTGTGATTGCTAACAAAAATAGGCAATTTCCTCTTCTGGATTTTTTACATATTTTACTCATTTATAATTCTTTTTTTTTTTCCAAACACTTTTTAGTACCCACAACGGGTCTACCTCCATCCTTCGCTGCTATTGAATATTCCCACCTTCCAAACTCTTCCTCTTCTTTTTTTACTACCCGCGTGCTCTTCCCTCCTGGCTTTTCCTGTGGCGTTCCCCACCATGCACTTCTCTTGGAACTGGCTTCTAAGAGAGAGAGAAGGGACCTCCTCAGGTATGACATCAAATCATTAGGTTGTCTAAGGAATTGCCCCAGACAACTAGGTTGAGCTGGGAGGTTGAACTGAGCCCTCACTGTGAGCATAATTCTGTTTACAAAACTTTTAAATAAAATGTCCTCTGAAGTTTCCATTCCAGGGTTGTCTGTGTTTTTTTTTTTTCTGGGAAAGGTTTGTAGGCATCAGCAGGGATAGGGCTAGTAGGCAAATCATTTGATAGGGTAGAAAACAGTTTGCCAACTTCATTGTTTCTGTTCCTCACAATAAGCTTGACAGAGTGAGGAAAACTTTTTGTGTACTCAGCACAGGATCGGGAAGGGAGGAAAACAGGTCTAGAGTTGAGGACTAGAAGGCTGGCTATTCTCCTTAGGGCATGCTGGTAGAAACCTGGGTACATATCAGAGAGGTTTCCATTTAAGGAGCACTGAAAGGAGATCGTAATCATAGCAAACCATCAAAGTTAGAATACTTATCCTCTTACTGCCTAGAAATTGAAGAAGTTGGAGCAATTTTCTGCTTTCAGACACCATTTTAGTCCACTGCCTTTAAGATACAGATGGGAGGAAATGAGGTTAAAGATGGGAGGGGATTTCCCAAGTGCATGAAGAAGTGACGAAGCTGTGAGTTCTGTCACCTCAAGGAGTATTGTATTGATCTTTGTCAACTCACTAGTGTCAGAGGTGTGTGATTAGAATTTGTGACCAAATTAGAAAAGATTGTCCTACTGCGGGTAACAGCAATGACCTTGATGGGATGAGAGGAGAATGGGGCTAGAATAATATGGAAACTTTGGAAGCTTGATTGATGTTGGAGTTGAAAGAACCCTGAAGGAGGAGACATAAAAAGTAATGAATATGATCAAAGTATATTATATGCATGCATAGAAACATCACAATAAAATCCCCTATAGTACAGTTAATATGCACTATAAAGCTGGGCACTGATGGCTCACACCTGTAACACTAGCTACTCAGGAGGCAGAGATCAGGAAGATCAAGGCTTGAGGCCAGTCTGGGCAAATAGCGAGACCCTATCTTGACAAAACCCATCACAACAATGGGTTGGTGGAGTGGCTCAAAGTGTAGACCCTGAGTTCAAACCCTAGTACCCACAAAAAAAAGCACTAATAAAAATGTGAAAAAAAGAACCTTAAAATAGCTGGGCTGCACTTGGATAGGGGTAGAGCAAGAGAGAATGCCATAGAACATTACAAAAAGAACTAGGTAAAATATCAGTGCTGGGAAAACCCTAGAGTCTCATCAAGTTGAATTCTGTCCTGATTCAGGTGGGGAAACTGAAACCCAGAAAGAGGCTAGGACTTGATGTGTTTTATGAACTGAGTCAGAAGCAGAAAATAGGGGTGCAATCATCCATCACACAAGAAGAAACACCACTTCCCTTTGCTTTTCCCCTTGTATCTGGATTGAATAATTAGACTTTCAACCAAAGGAGAGAAGGGAGAGGAGAGTACAGAGTTTCATGGCCTGCCTAGTACTTGTATTATGAAACAGCACATAATGACAGCAATGAAAGTCTTAGTATGTACCTATTCCATCCTAACCTCCAGCACATAATGCCCTGCAAGACTGAGTCCACAAATCTTCTAGACCTTAAGGCCTTTTCCAAATACTGAACACTCCCCAGTATTTATCTCTTTCTCATGATTAGGATCTCGCTCCCATACTGAGGTCACTTCTTTCTTCTTTCCAAGCATAAATTATCCTTCTTCTGGAGAAGGCAGGGACAAGATGGGTGTTAGAGTTTGGATCTTCAGTGTTCCTCAAAGACCCATGTGTTAAGGCTTTGTCATCAGTCTGTGGTACTACTGGGAAGTACTAGAACTCTCAGGAGGTAGAGCCTAGTAGAAACAAGTTAGGTCATTGGGATTGTGCCCTCAAAAGGGATATTGGGCCCGCAGCCTCGCTTTCTGCCCCTATCTCCTCTCCCTTCTCCTGTCTTGTCCCACCCCTTTCCTTCCTGGAAGTCTGGAGTTGAACAGCTTTCCTCTGTCACATGCTTTTGCCATGATGTATTGACTCACTACAGGCGCAAAAGCAAACAGGCCAAGTGACCATGGGTTGAAACCTCTGAAACCATGAGCCAAAATAAATCTTTCCTTTTTTTAACTTGATTTCTCAGGTATTTTTATCATAGCAACAGAAAGCTGATAAACACAATGGGGATGCTGAAACACACCTTTAATTTGAGTACATCCTTCTATATGTTAAGAATTCTTTGCCTTACATGTGAAAACTTCTCAGACATGAGCTAACTTGTTCCCAGAAGCACTCTCACAGTATAGTGACACTCCATCTTCAAATATTCATCTATATCTCCCTAAGTCTGTATATTTTGCCCATAGCAGAGACCCCATTTGCCCTGCTCTATCTACTCAGGCCTGGAAGGTCTATTTCTGGTGGTTGGATGGGAAGGCCCAGTCTCCCAAAAACACACTTTCTATCTGATCCTTCTCAGAAAAAAAAAAGTCTGTGGGTAACCCCAGCCTGTGTCGGGCCCTATCTGGTGAACACCCAGTTGTCTTTTCTGTCCTCCTGCCTCAGCCTTTCAGCAGTTGCCTCAGCGACTTTCAGTTTGGTCTGCACTTTCATCTCAGACCCATAGAGGGCAACCACAGCCAGTTTATGAGAAATAATTCTGGGTGTGGTTTCTCTAGCCCTTCACTTCCTTCTCAGTGCTTGTAAAATTCTAGAACACAGGCTGTCAGAATCATTATGTATGTTTAGATAACTTATATTCATATTCCCTCACAATAAAGGTAGAGAAGTGGGCTGTCACTGTAGTTCAGTGGTAGAGGGCTTGCCCTGGATTCCATCCCAGCACCAAAAAAAAATAAACCTAGGAGAAACTGAGGCCCAAAGCCTGAACTCAGCCTGTGATTCACTGTGGCATTTAGGGTTAGAACCCAGATTTTCTGAATCCCTGTTCAGAATTTGAAATGATGCTTAATAATAATCCAAATGCCTCTTTTTATAGTTGTGAAAAATGAGGCCCAGGAAAGAATTTTCTAAAGCTATACAATTGTGACAGAGCTAGGACTTGAACCCAGGTCTTCTGAATGCTAGTCCAGGACTTTTTTTTTAAGTAAAACCATGCATTTTTTTCATTCATTCCATCAGCTGAGAATTGTTCTATTGTACAAATACAGTGTTGTATTAAAAAAATCACAAAATATTACAAAATAAAAAAGTACAATCTGCATTACTTAATAAATAAGTTAAAGTGGCAATGAGATAGGTTTTAAGTTGTAGTCTAGGACTCTTGAAAAATAATGTTAGTCATCTAGTTCATCCTGTTTGTTTCTAATGAAAGGGCTCATAGAGGGAATGCAATTTGCCTGATGCCCCAGAGTAAATTAGTGACTGTCGGAACTATAGTTGCTGTTAGAACTAGGATTGAAGGACTGACAGAATGGCTCAAGCAGTAAGAGTGCCCCTAGCAAGCGTGAGGCCCTGAGTTCAAACCCCAGTGTTGGAAGAAAAAAAAAAGAAAAGATAGAACTGGGACTGAGTGGAAGTTGGTACCCTGATTTCTATTCACCCACAGACTCCCCGCCCCCCGAAGTGAGTTAGGGATCCCTGAATCTCAGAATTAAATAGCAGAGACAATGACACAATCCTTACTTAAGCTGTTTTATCCCTGAGAGTCTGGATTCTGAGACACACATTGTGTGTATGTGAGTGTATAGGGGAGTATTTGTCCACCCTTGTTCTGCTCTCCCTCTACTGAAAAAAAAAAAAACTCTTAACAAAAGGCTCACCTCATTTCTCCCCTTTCAAGGCCTCCAGCTTTGAGAGTGAGAGGATGACTCACTCGGCGCCCACAGTCACCGCTGCGGAGAACATAATTGCTAGCTGGGACATCACCATAGCACCCAGCCATCACATTTGCAGAGTACTGTCTTGTTTTTCTCAAAGCTTTTTCCTATCTATTTTTTCACTGCTACTTCTCCAAGTCCCAGGGAGCCAAAAGAGCAGATATCATTACCCCTGCTTTTCTGAAGATGAAAATTATTTTTGAGGAGAGAGAGGTGAAGGAAGACTGAGCAAGTTTAGAACAGACTGAGACTAAATCCCTTGATCTTTTGATTTCCAAGTTTCTGGAGTGTTCTGCACAAATACCCAAAGCCCCAGAGGAAGCTATGGGGTACACAGATATATCCCAAGTGCCTGTTAGCAGATCCCTCCCTAATTTATTAATCACTGAGCTGGGGTAAGACAGTGTAATTGGGTTTTCATTGGAGACAAAGGAGACTCAATCCCTGTCCTTACCTGAACATTGATTAGGTCACCACCTTGTCCAATGGCAATCCACAACTTTCTCTTCTTCTCTTGGCAAAGTGACCTAAACTTTCAAGTGATACCATTGAACCAATTGAATAATTTTTTCAGAACATTTGATTAGGAATCAGGAGATCAACATTTTCTTCTATTCTTCCATTACTTCCATGTGTAGCAATGGACCAGACCCTTCCTGTTTGTGGGCCTAGTATTCATATCTGCAAAATGATA